AATTCCACATCCTCTGGGTTGCTTTGGCGAGCCACATGGTAACCTGGCAACTCCAAGGTCAAATCGGATGCTGTTCAGAGACCATTTTCAGTAATTTTCTGAGCAATGAATGACTCACTGCTAGCAGAAATTTCACACACCAGAATGCAAAAGATATTTGTCCACTGAGAAGAGTTTAAAGGGGCCAGCCATCTCCATCACCAACTGGCTCCCTAGTCTGGGAAAGTTCATGGGTTACTGAATGGATCCAAAGGCAGGACTCACACTGCTGCAGGGTTGGGAAGCAAGAAATCAAGGGAGTAGGGAAAAAACATCCAGTAAATTTGGAATGGATCCTCCAGGGTGCCCCAAGGAAGAGGTGGAGACGCAAATCCCAAGCTTCACTACCAAAGCTCAATCAGTCTTCGTAAGTGAGGTCTAGGAGATGATCCACGGAAAGGGCTTAGTGCAGTGGCCAGCACATAGTGATAGTAACAACAGACAACATTTACCAAATGCCTGACAAGAGTGTGACCTCCTCAGCTGCCTCTCAAAGTCGCAGCAGGAGAAGCAGTAGAAAAAACTTTCTAAGCAAGTACCAACCCTGTCCAAGAATTTCAGTTTAAGTTTGGTTTGTTTGTTTGTTTGTTTCGGTGCTCCCAATAGAGCAACAGTCCCAAGAGCACCATCCTTGAGGAGTCAGAGGAGAGGCGTGCAGGGTACAGGTTTCAAACAAGGTTACAGAGAAGAGCTGAAGAAGCTCCTCCTACAGTCATTCAAGGGGCGCCTGGGTGGCTTGGTGGGTTGAGCCTCTGCCTTCGGCTCAGGTCATGATCCCGGGGTCCTGGAATTGAGCCCCACGTCGTCGGGTTCTCTGCTCAGCAGGGAGCCTGCCTCCCCCCCTCTCTCTGCCTGCCTCTCTGCCTACTTATGATCTCTGTCTGTCAAATAAATAAATAAAATCTTTAAAAAAAAATGAAGTCATTCAATCTGTGGTCCCCAACTCTATGGCCTCTGCAGACCAAGGGTTAAGTGCAGACTTAGTGAAGCTGGGAGATTTGAGAGTGAGTGCATCAGTTTAAACAATGTGAAAAATCAGCAAAACTGGTGTGCCATGAGCAGCAGTCTCCCTGAAATAGGCTCTCATTTGCCTTTCATTTCTTCTGCTTTCCAGTCTCTTCTCTTTGAAGTGGCTCTTGATTAGTTTCTTTTTTAATTGCCACTTAATTGGGAAATAAAATTAGAACTCTTATTTGATATCAGAGATGAGGTTTCTCTTTTCATTTCTGCTTTGATCTAGTTTTGAAAAACCAAAAGCTGAAGGGAGAAATTAAGAAAAAGGGGAGAAAAAGATTTCTTCTTTCCAAGAGCTAGATGCAGCTATAAGGCACCGAATATAAATATGGAAAGAACCACTCTCGGAGAATCTGACGGATAAAACAAAAAGCAAGTAAGGCTGGCTTTATGGCACTTCCTTTTAAAGAGATCGCTGTTTTCTCTTAAGTTTTTTCATAAGAGATAACAGCTCAGGACTGGCGAGGAAAACTTATAAGAACTCATCTTTACCTGTCCCCATGAAGTAAGAAAGCAGGATGGGAAAGAGACATCCTTATCAAAGGGATGGCTTACCAGCATCTCAGTGGTATCAATGACATTGAAAAATAAATTCTAAAAGAATCCTAGGAACCAAATAATATAAAAGTCCTTTCCTGTTCCAATCATCCAAATAAACTTTGTCTGTTAACCCAAAACTAAAATCTACTGGTAGCTAGTAAGTAATTCATTCTTTAGTAACAATTCTTGGAAAGCCTTTCACTAAAAACAAAGAAGCAAATTAAAGCATCCGGATGGATGGTGAACTGCAGGGGAATACAGCATTAAGATGATCTTAGGGGGCACCTGTGTGGCTCAGTGGGTTAAGCTGCTGCCTTCGGCTCAGGTCATGATCTCAGGGTCCTGGGATCGAGTCCCACATCGGGCTCTCTGCTCAGCAGGGAGCCTGCTTCCCTCTCTCTCTCTCTGCCTGCCTCTCTGTCTACTTGTGATCTCTGTCTGTCAAATAAATAAAATCTTAAAAAAAAAAAAAAAAAGATGATCTTAGTCTGGGGGCATCTGGGTGGCTCAGTAGGTTTCCGCTCAGGTCATGATCTCGTGGGTCCTGGAACAGAGCTCCATACGGGGCTCTGCGCTCAGCGGGGAGTCTTCTTGGGATTCTCTCTCTGCTTCTCCCCTAATTCTTGTGCACAACCACGCCCGCACACTCTCCCTCTCAAATAAATTAAACCTAATTTATTAACTGTAACTGATGTGTCAGGCAAGTAACTGGGGGGAAAATGCCACCTGTCTTTGTTGAGTAGATTAAAAAAATAGCATATAGAAAAACTGTAGAGATACATACATTAAAAAATACAAACACACAAAATAAAACATACACCTACATTGCACGTATGCATGTGCACGTGTATGTGTGTTTCAATGTATATGTGAAATCTATACTCATCAAAGTTTATTTAATTATGGTTGTTTCATTAATGTAAAGTACTGTGAGCCCATCCTGAAAGGAAGGCCTCAGTGAAAGGCCTTGTGAAACTTGGAGGATCCCCAATTTTTGTAGGTATTTCACAAGAAACTGTAGTAAGGCTCACAACGAAACTGAGTTGGTGTAAGAAAGTGTGTGTGTAAGAAAAATCTAATACTCTTTCCCTCAGCGAGGGAAACTCCGCCAACACTGAACTCTGAATTTTAACATTTGCCATTTGTTCATCCACCAAATACTCACAAACGTCCATTACGTGCCAGGCATCTCAAAGCCATGGTCCCTCTACTCAGGCACGTTACAATCAGGTGAGGCAGGGAATGGACACACGTTATTTGATAAAATCTACAACAAATGAGGTATGTGATAAGAGCACAAGCTGGGGAAAGGGCAGGAAGATTTGAAGGAAGAACAGGAGGGAGGGGACAGGCTGTATTTTCCATGTTATCTCATTTAATCCCTACAACTGGAGGTTAAGTAACTTTCCCAAGGTTACAGGACAATTAAGTGTCAGAATCAAGCTCTGAACCCAAGTATGAGTGAACCCAAAATCCATGCTCTTTCGGTGCCACACTGCTTCCCAACATCATTTCCTCCAACAATTAATGAGAAAATATTAACTCTACTTCAGATTCTGAGTGCCAGAATTAGCCTGTCCTCCAAGCTAGGTCTTCTCTTTTCACCCGTCACCTCCAAACTCATTTACACAGACCTCTAGATTTGGTATATGTGCTGCCGAAGCGAGCACACACAGACCTCTAGATTTGGGATGCTGATAAATTTGTTCACCCAGACCATATATAACCATGTACAACAACAACAAAACGACAACAAAACACTGTCAAAGTTTTTTTTTTTTTTTTAAGGTTACCACTTTGTTGTACTATAAATAAAACACAGAACTTTCTGCCAAATAGTTTTGCAAACTGATTCACAGATCATAGGGAATAAAACCAATTAAAGAGCTATAGATGCTGGTCAAGGTAACAGCTTAGCAGAGAAAAATAAAAGCAACTACACACAGAGCAAAGAAAAAGCTTTACTTTCACTTCTGAAAGGACTTCTGAATTCAACAGCTCTCATCTATTATTAGGATTTCTACTCAGGAGGGCTGCACTTTCCCTTCTTCCTGTTCCTACTTCCGCTTTAAAAGCTATTCCTTTCTTAGGAATCTCAAACTTCAAGGCTTTTGTTACATGAGATCTGTTCTGAGTTATAGCAAAAGAACACACTCTTATAAAACCAGATCTGACAAACTTCCTTTTCCTCTACATTCTTCTTGTGATTTTTTTTAAGCTGCTCAAAGAACATAAAAGCTAGATCTTTTAACCTAAGGATTCATCACAAACAGATTATAAACAACTTAATTAATCCTTTGTTCTTCCATCTCTACAAGATGGTGGAATTTTTTTAAGTTTATCCAAAGATTTCAACCTTTTACCTTTACCTACAGGCCTACCGCTAATATTGCAAATAACTTCATGACTATGAAAATAGGACTATCACACACACACACACACAGAGGCACAAAATCAGACTACCACAGGCTCACCCAAAGTTATATGTCCAAAAAGTCTCTCATAACTGTCCGTTAAAAAACACAGGGACAGAGCTTCAGCACGGACCACTGTAACAATATGAAGAAAGAAGAATGATAGGGTGTGGCTTACAAGAATAAAAACTGATTTGGAAATAGAACTCAACTCTGAAACGCCTGATGAATTTCTTCTGTCCAAGCAACAGTTACTAGTATGCAAGACTCTGAAGTACAGGAACTGCAATATTAAACCCACTTCTAATCCCTGTCCAAGCTGCACCATCAGTCAATTTCTTGAAGCTTTGAGGTTATTTCACAAAGTTAACAGAACAAAGATCCTGGAAAACCTAATTATATAGTGTTCAGGAAACTTATAGATTATCTGGAACAATGGGCACCATATACACCAAACCATTATCATACAGTAATTACACTGTAGGGTTTATAAGGTAAGTTTGTATTTTGAGATTCTCCTGTTAGTGACACTTTACAACATAATTATGGTTTGTACAACCTGATATATTTCCTCATTGAAGGTGAGCTGCAGCGAAATGTTACATTATTCGTTTATTGCTAATCACGTTGTTCACACACATCTATAAGTAACGTTCCCTTTGAACTGTACTGTTAGATTGACCCGTGTTGTGCCATCAAAAACCATCGTCCAACATGCTCTCTTCCCTGAACGCGGGTGAAGCACACGAGTGGAACATTACACAGAAGAACTTTTATATAATAGAAGTATTCAATGTCTCCGGCCCTTAATATACTGAGCTCCCACCCTGGTAAATGACAAAGACAAAAACCAATCGCCAGGCAGGATACCAATGTCTCAGCCAATTAGAATATGGGGGTGGGGTTACCCTAAGCTCCCGGTGACTTCCCCGCACCCCAGAGACCCAGGTTGTGGGAGACTGGACGGGAATTGGACTCCGAGGATGTCGTTACCCCCGGCTGTAGCTGTTGTCCTCCTCGTTCTCGCAATCGCTGCAGTGCTCATGGCCGTTTCCGTTCCCTTCCATCATCTGCGGCAGCGGAGGTGCCGGCGGCTTCACTGCTGTCTCACTCTCGTCCGCCATCTTGAGTTGCGAGAGGCGGCCTCCGCGCCTCGATACATAGGGGGTTCCTATTGGGCGAGAGGAACTTGAGATATATTCTGGGTTTTGTAGTTTTTGTGTCGAAGGGAGCAGTAACTAGGAACAGCTCATTCTCGCGAAACCGGAACAAGGTGGACTACGATACCCAGAAATCACAAAGGGAGGCTGTCCTGGGTGGGGGACCTGCACTACCCGGAAGTCCTGGGCGTTCAGCCGCGTTTCGAGGGAAGAAGGGACCCAAGGTTGGCGGGGCCGACGCTCCGCGACCGGGCGGCGCGTGGCATACTGGGAATTGTAGTTCGATGCTTGCTTAGGATTTCGGGATGAGGCTCCAAAATCCAAGGTTTGACCTCAGCCTGCCCTTGCCAGTGCCTGGGCCACAGGTGAGCCGTTATTGGCTGCCGTTAAGGACCGTTACCATTACCGGGTAAGTAATGAGGCCTGAGGCCTGCGGGTACTACCCATCGGGAGCCCGAATGCGTCGGGCCTTCTTGCAAAGCCTTGGTTGTAAGAAGCCAGATTGGCTCCCGGTCCCCTTTCCTCCCTCGGGACTCCAGGCGGCCCCGGTCGTCGGGAGTTCGAGGCCTTTTGAGAGACGGTGGATGCGGTGTGTGGAGCACTGATCCTGAGCCAGGAGACCTGACTGCTTAGTTCGGCTTTGCCGCTTCTTGGCTTCCAGCAACTGCTCTCCACGAAGCTCACACCGTTCCTAGGATTCTCCATATGCACTTTTTTTTTTTTTTTTTTTTGAGAGAGGGACAGTGAGAGAGAGCATGAGCGAGTAGAAGGTCAGAGAGAGAAGCAGACTCCCCGCGGAGCCGGGAGCCCAATGCGGGACTCGATCCCGGGACTCCAGGATCATGACCTGAGCCGAAGGCAGTCGTCCAACCAACTGAGCCACCCAGGCGTCCCTCCACATACACTTTTTAATGAGCACTTATATGCCAGAATCTGGGGTAAGGTTTTTCGTATATCTCATTTAATCCTCTCAACAAGCTGAGAAGATGTGTTTTTGTGTTATCCCCTTCGGCACAGACGAAGAGATGTGGCCCAGATTGCTTGGTAAACCGCTCAGTCACAAAGCAAGTGCCAAAATCAGTGTACAAATTTGGATCTGTCTGCCCTTCGGCCCTCTGAATTCTCTATCACTACAAAAGTTCCATTGTCTGCTTGAAAATAAGTTATTAGAAAGTAATGGTGACATCTCCATCTAATTTTAGCATTGACTCAATGCTTCAGTCCCTTGGGTCTCACCCCAGTGTTTTTGAGTAATTGCATCTGAGGCTTGAGGCCAGCACCTGAAGACATGGTTCCCATTTCTAGGGATTTCCCATTCAGGTTGGATTGTGGGCTGTTCGGGAAGGACATGTTCTTATCCTCAGAGAGCTCCATGGCCAGAAAAAGGAATGATCTTTGCCATTGGGAAACTCTCAACGTGGAAAGAGGGAGAAAGTGGGAAGAAACACTTCCATATGACTCAGGGAGACAAAACAAAATAGAGCTAAATATTGTCAGTTCTTCGTTTTTCTCAGTGGCAGGCACAGAAGTAAATGTGATCCCAGGGGTGCCTGGGCGGCTCAGTGGGTTAAAGCCTCTGCCTTCAGCTCCGGTCATAATCTCAGGGTCCTGGGATCAAGCCCCGCATCGGGCTTTCTGATCGGCAGGGAGCCTGCTTCCTCCTCTCTCTCTCTGCCTGCCTCTCTGCCTACTTGTGATCTCTGTTTGTCAAATAAATAAAATAAAAAATCTTAAAAAAAAAAATGTGATCCCAAACAGCAGATAATCCCCAGTCATTTATATCGGACTTTAGAAGGGAAGGACATCGACTCAGACTGAGTGCTGTCACCCACATTCATCTCTCCAGGACCAAGACTGCTGTCCGTATGATGTATTCTATGCAGCTGCAGGCCAGAGGAAGACACCAGAGATGATGATGATGAAGCCTTATATGTATGTGTTAGATGAATTTGATTTCTAAATGATTGGCTTGTAGGTCATGTGACCTTGTAAAGTAGGTAGGGAAGGGGACTTGAGAAAATTGAGCTTGCGGCAAAACAACCACCACCATCTAACAATGATACTTAGTAGCAGAACCAGAACCTGCATCCAGTCTTCTAATTCCCAACCCTGTATTTTCTTTTCTCACAGATAAGCAGAGGTTGAACAAAAGCTAATGAAACATGACCAGGGCAGAGTGATTACAGGGTCCACTGTGAACCCTGCCGTTCTTAAGGTTCAGAGCTTAAGAAAGACACTGCCTTGTATTTTACTCCAAACTGAGCAGTTTTTGCTCAGTGGAGAGCCTTTCTGGGAGGTAGACAGGCAATGTTACTGTCTCAGCTCAGCTCAGAATGCAAGTCCCAGTCCAAAGTTCTGGAATCCAGCACCTCTGAGAATTTTAGAGTTCAAAGGTACCTGAAAGGCAGTTATTCCCCCTCTGTTAGGATCTTTCAAGTTAGAATGCTCACTTAGATTTTGTAGAATCTGTTATTTCTCTGTAATAAAATGTAAGTGTTATATTTTTAAAAAGAAATTGAGTGTATGTGTTACCTTTTTTTAAATGACTGCTGAAAACTTGAATATTGCCACGTGTGATTTTGGAATGTAAGTTTACTTTTGAGTTTATTGTCACGTTGGGACAGTTTCCTAAATTGGGTTTGTGGATAGTGTCTTGGAATTCCAAGAGTTCTCATATTTGTTCCTCCCCGTTATCCCCTCCGCCCCCTTTAACAGAGAGCCTTCTACTTTCAGACAGTTCTTATTGGTGGAAAGTTGGCCAAGTTCAGCCTTCTGAAGTTAAATGGAAGCTTATGATCCTGTGTCTCTCTACATAATTATTACATATTCTTCCATTAATATCTGGTTCCCTGAAATTCTTTTTTCCAAGGTAAACTTTCTCAGCTTCCTGAGTGCCTCGTCACATTAAAATAGCAGGATTTTCCCATCTAGCCCTGCTGGCTCTTTCTATCCTCCCCATTCTGGCAGAAACACTCTACAAAGGCAGGGAGGTACAGCAGAGCCCAAAGGGTGGCTGAGGAATATGCCTATGAAACCCTGCAGATTCTAGAGTTTACTCCTACTGTGGATACCTCTGCTATCCCTTCACAGTTGTTACTGAAGACAGAAGACTATAGTGATTAAGAGAACATACTTCAGAGTCTAACTCTCTGGGTTCATTTTTATTTTTTATTAACATATCATGTATTATTAGCCCCAGGGGTACAGGTCTGTGAATCTACCGCTGCCTGATGAGTGACCTTAGGCAAGTCACTTTACCTCTCTGAGCCTCAATGTCCTCACTTATGAGACGATGCAGGCAAAACACTTAGTGAAGTGTTTGAGACAGTCAGTATCTACTAAATCATTATATCCCTTCCCAGGAAGTCAGCATTCCCTGTGATGATCAAAGAAAAACTTTCTCATGATGTCCATCACAGATCAAGGCCCTTGCTGTACTCCCAGCATATCAGAGATTCATTTCTTTTAATGGGCCTAGGAAAGCATGAACCAGGTTGTGGTTCATTTTTCCAACACCTTGGGGGCACTCACCATACGCCAGGCTCCATGGCAGGAACTAGAGAATGAGGGATAGAAGAACACAGTCATTCCTATCCTGGCTTCACTCCACACGTTGGTAGCTACACAGACCGACTTTTACGGTACAGTGTGTGAGAGAGTGGGAACACCAAATGTAGCTCAGCCTGGGGGCACCCTTGGCCTGGGGAAAGAGGTTCTGTACGAAAAGATGGCTGAGCTGAGTTTTCAAAGGGGAGCCAGAAAAATGGGGCAGCGGGTAGGGGCGAGTCCAGCTGCCTAAGAGTGGGTGCTCTTGAGGTCCCACAGCAAGAATTATATGAGCATTTTGGAGACTGAGACGACAGGCAGCCAGGAGTCAGACCAGGAAGGGATGTGGAGGCCAGGCTGAGGGGGTTGGGCTTTATCCTGAGGACTCTTGAAAGCTGCTGAAAGATTTTTAGCTGGAGAGAGAGAGGATGAAATTTTTTAACTTAATTTTTTTTAATTTTTAATTTTTTTATTAACATATAATGTATTACTTGCCCCAGGGGTACAGGTCTGTGAATCTTCAGGCTTACACACTTCACACCACTCACCATAGCACATACCCTCCCCAATGTCCATAACCCAACCACCCTCTCCCTACCCCCTCCATCCAGCAACCCTCAGTTTGTTTTGTGAGATTAAAAAAAAAAAAAAGTCTCTTATGGTTTGTCTCCCTCCCGATCCCATCCTGTTTCATTTTTTCTTTCCCTACCCCCCAAACCCCCCACGTTGCCTCTGAAATGAGGATGAAATTTTTGTCATTGAAAGATCATACTAGGCAGCAGCCTGTCCTAAGGAAGAGAGTTTTTCTCTGAGGAACAGGGCTAGTGTGCTCAGTTGTGAATAAGGGGTGATCTTGGGCAGCTTCCTGTCTCCCCTGGAACTTTCAGGAAGGGTACCCTTCCTTCCTATGATAGCTCCTGACACATGGGCCTGGAATGCAGTGGGTCCAGCCTTCTGTGGCTTAAATCTGTGGGATTTAAAGTGTGCCAGCCATTCCCTGCTCAGTGAAGTTGGGAAAACCAGGTGCAATTTGAAAAAAATAACAAGGCCTGACTGGGTATGATTAAATGAGCTGGAGAGATAAGTTAACTGAAATTTGGGGTGGGGCGGGGGGGGTGCAGATCTCTGGGTCACCATTGTTAGAAAGGAGAAGAGCAGACTTTGAACTTGGCCTTGGAGGCAACTTAAGTGCCGGATCCCCGGTTATAATTTCTGGGGGCCATGTGGACCTACCCCTGAGCTGGCTCACAGGTGCGGTTTTACTTTTTTGTTTGTGTGGCTGTACAGTTTGCAACCATTTTCTCCTGTGTTCCCTGAAGGCAGGGAATTTGTTGGATTTTCCTGTATCGTTTGGGCCAGCACAGAGTGGGCCCTCAATATTTGTTGGATTACTTAATGTGTGAATGAATGGTGAGAAGGAAGGGTTAAAGGCTTCA